AGAATGAAACACTGGTTGGTCCTGCGTCAGCCTTGCAATCCTTGCTATACCTGAGCCCACTGGGGCCAACCTGGAGGGAAGCTCACCAGGGTCTGTCTTGGTCACTCAGCCTGTGGGTACAGAGACCCTGGTTAGCTGAAGTCCTGGCTAGCACTGTGCCCTTGCCACAGCCCAATCCCAGCACAGGGGACTTCATCACTGCTGACCACCCCTCACTGCCACCTATGCCCAGCCTCTGGCTCAGGCCCCGCCTCTTCTGTCCCACAGGCCATGCCAAGTACAGCTCCTCAGAATCCAGCTACAAGTACTACCCGGATCTCCCTCCTGTCCAGCTGGGGCCAGGTGGTGAGTTGTGGCCCTCCATCCTACCCTCTATCCTACCCCAGCTCAGCACAGAACCCTGAGGGCCCACTCACCTTGGGTGCCCCCACCCAAGGAACACCCCCCACACCACCCCAGCCTGCTGCACATGGCCCCTCTTTGCACCCTAGTCCTACCTTGCTGCTGGTCAGTGCACACCCCTTGCAACCCTGGTGCAGTCCCTTTGTGTGGCCAAACAACCAGACAAGCACCTGTCCCAGAGTGGGGCCTGCACGTCCACCATTGTACCATCCCTGGTCTATTGGGGCAACTGTGTGCCCAGGCCATTTCCTTGGGGCGGTACCACACTGTCCAGCCTCCCTGCCCAGCCCCCATGCGGGGCCCAAGGTGTGGCCTTGATGGCTGGGGCAGCTGCACTCTTAGCTCACAGTGGCATGTACTGGGTTCCTTGTCTCTGTGTCCTCCACCCAGCTCGTGTCTCAGGCGCACACAGTCTGTTGGCCTTGGCACCATGGGTGGGTGGGGGCTGCTCACTGCAGGCTGGGAATGACCACCAGGCACTGACCCCATGGCTTGCAGCAGTGGTGATGGTGGTGGGGGAGCACCGCTGTACAGGGACGGCTCCAGTGCAGACCCAATGCATCTACTCCTGCCTCCATCTCTGGTGCCTGAGGAAGGGTCACCGGGCGTGACCTCAGCGCCCAGAAGATTGTCTTCAGTCACTGGTGTTGACTCAGGCATTTTTGAGATTCTGGGTGCAGGGAGCTCTCTGTGTGCAAACAGGACTTTCCAGCCAGAGAAGGGAGGCTGCCAGGCCCGGGCTGTCCCCAAGTGGTAGCCCAGAGGGACTGAAACAGCCAAGGAAGAGCTGGGTTCACCACAGAGGTGCTGGCATGCACAGAGATGCCTGTAGGGTTTGTTCCTGGCGGGCTGCTCCAGGCAGTAGAAGCCCCAGACCATGGGTGTGGAGGCCGGACCTCACATGCACCTCTCCCTGCAGGTGACCCACTCAGTGGGGTGACCATCTTCTCACCATTGAAGACGATCCCCATCGTACAAGGTGGGTAAGCCTTGCAGGGGCTGAGCTGTGTCTGCTGGAGTCCGCAGGAGTGTGCTGGGAGGGGGCTGGCTTGCAGGGTGGACACTGCATGCATCTTCGGAAGAGCCCAGGAGCCACCCGTGAGGGCCTTCCCATGGTTTCCTCCCTCTGATTCCAGCGGAACTCCTCCAGATGCTCCCCTGAGGGTGTCTGTGGGGACTTGGGCAGGTGGGCTGAGGACAGTGGGCATCCAGCCTCCTGACAGTCCCCACTGCCCCCTACCCCGCAGCCCTGAACCCGGCACACAACGGGCGGGTCTGCAGCACATGGGGCGACTTCCATTTCAAGACCTTTGACGGCGACATCTTCCGCTTCCCTGGCCTCTGCAACTATGTCCTGGCCTCGCACTGCCGTGCCGCCTACGAGGACTTCAACATCCAGGTGCGCCGTGGCCAGGACGCCACACCCAGCAAGGTCACCATGAAGCTTGACGGCATGGTCCTTGAGCTGACCAAGAGCTCCGTCACTGTCAATGGCCACCCGTGAGTCCAGCCCCAGGAGGCCCTGGGTGTGGACACCATTTCTGAGGGGGAAGAGGCAGGGAATCTTTGGCCTTGGGAGGAATATGAAAGTTCCCGAAAGGGGGCTGACACAGGACCTGGCCAGGCCTCCTGCACTGGCCCACTGGCCCTACGGGGAACCAAGGTGCCTCGCTCTGCCCCCAGAAGCAGATCCCTTCCTCTGTCTCTTTGACATGAGAACCAGGGTCCCACATCCCTGTCCTGTATGCCACCACAGGCACCACACATGACCGTGTGTCCCACAACCCTGTCCCATATGTGACTCTGTGTACTGTGCACTACATGGCCCATGACCATAGAGAATTTGTCACATTTATGGCCATAGGGACCTTCTCCTTGTGGTGGGAAGAGCTGCCCACTGGGCCCCGTCTTCAGTGTGCCCCTCCCCGGGCTGTGCCCCTCACCCTGCCCCCTCTTGCAGGGTCCAGCTGCCCTTCAGCCAGTCCGGGGTTCTTGTCGAACAGAACAGCATGAACCTGAAGGTGGTGGCCCGGATGGGGCTGGTCTTCATGTGGAACCTGGATGAAAGTCTCCTGGTAGGCGGGACAGAGCCCCAGGTTGGGCAGAAAGCTGCTTGCCTATGAGGTAGAGACCCCTCTGGGGAGGGCAGGTGGGAGAGGATGGTGTCCAGATTCTAATGAAGCCTGGGGCCTGCACCTTGACTTGGGACCCACTTGTGGGATGCCTCCTCCAGGACGGATCCAGCTTGCAGTCACTCTGAGTGCTCCCAGGCCTGCAGGGGCCATGGGAAGGTCTCATGGGCCTAGTGTCCTCACCCCTCCTTGGAAATCTAGGGCTCCCGGGCTCCATCTGTCCATTATATCCAGGGCATCCTTGGTAGCAAGGATGAGTATCTGATGCCAGCTCTCCTTTCAGCTGGAACTGGATGATAAATATGCCAACCAGACTTGTGGGCTCTGTGGGGACTTCAACGGCCTCCGCGTTTTCAACGAGTTCCTCTCCAACAGTAAGTGCTCTGCTGAGCGCTTGCTTGGGTGCACAGGGCTCCCTCTGCCAGCCTACCGCTGTGCAGGGGGAAGCAGGAGGCTCGGTCCTTCAGATCCCAGCCAGACCTCTCTCAGTCCGTGCACACGCACACACATGTACATGCCCACAATCCTGGCACGTGCATGCACACATGCAAACACACACACACTCAAACATGCAACCATACACCCCACACATGTGCACACACTCACACATGTGCACACACACATGCACACATACTCACACATATACACCCACGCACACCTACATTGTCCCGGAACATGAAGTGCCCTCAGTGCTGCAGGCAGAGAGCAGATTTCCCTCCTGGGCCCCTTCATCCCCAGCGGTGGCAACCGGCCTGGCACTTCCCTGTGGGGTAAGCAGGACCCCAAACCCAGGTCA